GACCGCCCAAGAATGAATTACTATGAATATATAGAACATGACCGCCCAAGATTGAATTAATATGAATATATAGAACATGACTGCCCAAGATTGAATTACTATGAATATATAGAACATGACTTGGGAGTCCCGTGTGGCCGATCATGACTTGTCCGGGATTGTAACATGACCGCCCAAGATTGAATTACTACGAATATATAGAACATGACTTGGGGGTCCCCTGTGGCTTTCCGTAGGTTCCTGCCGACAAAGCAGGTAACAACATTGTCTTCGTTTGTAAGGTTCATTATATAAATTGCATTCTAGAAGAACTTGGATTTAATTCTACAAATGGTAATCCTACTTATACTTTCCTTTCTAAGCCTTGTACACAGGAATGTCTTCGTTTGGTTTGTCTAATACCACATAAGGGTCTTTCTCCCACTTATCTGAGAGTTTACATTTTCCTGTTTTTGCTAATAACCGTACCAAAACTCTGTCGCTAATCTCTAATTTAGAAAAACGAACTTTATTGTCATAATTTTCTTTGTGTCGAGAACTGTTCTTATCACTATTTGATCTTGCAACTTTGTAGGCAAATTGTAATCTTTTCTTTAACTGTTCAGCATAGTTCAGATGACTTTTAGGTTTAACAGTACATTCTGAATTATCTAAATTTAAAAAGGCATCAATAGCTAGCCTTGGATGCCAACCAAACATCAAATAATGAGGGCTGAATCCTGTAGTGTCTTGTTTGGTTGCATTGTATGCATGAACCACAGGCCTTTAGATCGCTTAGAAAAAAAATTGAGGTGTTGAAAAAAAAATAAAGGTATGGAACTCTTTTCATGGGGTACCTACTTTCGCCAATAAAATTCTTTTAAATCAAATGCTTTATAAATTTTACTTTCTATCCATATCTATTCAAATATAAACAATCTCCATTACTACCAAAGTTCATTCCGTAATTCCTTATACTTCTCGAGATATTCTGAAATCAATTCCCAAATTGACCTTAATTTTTTTACTCGACATCAGCTTGGGCCCTCACTAATTGTAAAGCGTAAACGACGGGACAAATTTTCCCCGGAATTTATTCTAAACTCAATGAATATTTGCTCATTTCCATTCGAGCTTTACAAGTTTTTTCTTTAATTTGATCATATGGTGTAACTAAGTCACAAACAACATTTTAGCGGTCTAATTGTTTTGAAAATCGAAAGGTATATAATGCATTCCGGGAAAAATTCGTTCTACCATGGCTTCATTTACTTTCATAATCAACATGGCGGTAGTTGTTGATGTAAACGTTTTCAAATAATTTTTTCGCGAAAGGAATATTATTACGGACTTAACGTTACAACCTTGCGTAAGAAATCAACTTTAAATTGTTGAAAGATTTTGCAAATACTATGCAACTCTTCGCCGCACTTCAAACACCGTCTGTTTACATGTGAATGACCAGGGGCCCAAGCTAATGTCGAGTAACAGAAAGTAGGTCATTTTTGCAATTGATTTCAGAATATCTCAATAAATATACGGAATTTCGGAATGAGCTTTGGTAGAATTAAAGAATGTTTATCTATGAATAAATTTAAATAGAAAGTAGAATTTTAGAGCATTAGAATAAAAAATATTTTATTAGCGAAATTAGGTACCCAGTGTAAGAGTTCAGTACCTTTATTTTTTTTTTACACACACAAATTTTTTTAAGCGATCCAAAAGCCTGTGGCATGAACTAAAGGAAGTATATATGATTTCCAGTCATCTTTTTGTAATTTTCCAAAGTGCCTAGCATTTTGATTAAAGTCTGATTAAATCTTTGTACAAGACCATTTCCCATTGGGTGGTAAGGTGTAGTTCTACTTTTACTTATCCCACTAATTGCACAAAGTTCTTTTATAACCTTACTTTCAAAATTGCGACCTTGATCGGAATGAAGTCATTCTGGGAAACTGTAATGACAAATAAAATTCTCAAACAGAGCTTTAGCTGTTGTTTTGGCTAGTTGATTCTTAGTTGGAACTGCCACTGCATATTTTGTAAAATGGTCGGTTATTACCAAAATATTTTCAAATCCACCTTTAGACTTTTCTAATGTTAAAAAATCGATACATACAGTAGTATTTCTAAAGGTTTAGTAGTCTGTATATTTACAAGATTAGCTCTAGGGCTTTCTGCTGTTTTTCTACGAACACATCTACCACAAGTTTCAACTCTTTGTTTGATTTCTTTTTCCATACCATTCCAGTAAAATATATGTTTTGTCAACCATAAAGTTTTGTCTCTGCCTTGGTGGCCAACATCATTGTGAATACCCTTAAAAGCAATGTCTCTGTAATGTGATGGTAAGACTAGTTGTTTAATGTTTTTGCCATCAACCATAGTACGACGATAAAGAATATTTTTATGTATTTCATAATTTCTCCACTCTCTCAGGTATTCTCTAACCTCTAAGTTTTCACGTTTCAACTCTCTACTTTCTGGTTTCAAACCTATTTCTAACAATTCAATAAGTCTGTTGATAGATGTATCTTTTCTTTGTTCTACAGCCCAGTTAATATTGCTAAATTCTTGCAGTTCGTTATCCTCACTATTACTTTGTAGTGTAGCATTTTTTGTCAAAACTAATCTTTCAGCCAAAGGAAGTTCTTCCTTTTCTACTAATACAGCTGAAGTTAAAGCTTTAATAACATTAGGACAAATTTCTGTAGGTCTACGAGATAATCCATCCGCATCTCTGTTTGATTTACCTGTTTTGTAATGTAATTTAATATTTTATTGGAAAGAGATGCCAACCACCTGTGCGACATTGCATCTAACTTGGCTGTGGTTGTTACATAGGTTAATGGATTATTATCTGTAAATACGTCAAACGTATTGCCATATAAGTAGTCGTGAAATTTGTCACATAAGGCCCATTTTAAACATAAAAATTCCAATTTGTGGGTAGGATAATTTTGCTCACTTGACCGTAGTCCTCTACTGGCATACGCAATAACTCTATCTAAACCTCCCTGATTGTGGTATAATACTGCTCCTAAACCTCCCTTTGAAGCATCAATATTAACAATAAATGGCTTTGAAAAGTCTGCAAATGCTAATATTGAGGTGAGGTTAGTTTCTCTATCAAAGTGACAAATGACTGTTGTTCTTTCTTACCCCATACCCAAGGAGTTTTCTTTTTCTTACTTGTCTTGGACTTCTTATTAGTCGGATGTCCACCTAATAAGTCATTGAGAGGTCTTACTAATCTGGCATAATCTTTGACAAATCTTCGGTAGTAGCCTGTAAATCCTAGAAAAGAACGTAGAGATTTTATATCTTTAGGAACTGGCCATGTTTTTAATGCTAAAATTTTGTCGGGATCTGTTTGTATTCCCTTCTCTGATACAACATGTCCTAGATACTTCACTTCAGACATAAAAAATTCACATTTTGAAGGTTTCAACTTTAAATTATGTTTTTCTAATCTCTTGAATACACCTTCTAATCTTTCTAAATGTTCTTCAAATGCCGAAGAAAAAACAAGGATGTCATCTAAAAATATTAAACACTGTTATAAATTTATTTCCCCCATACAATTCTCCATTAACCGCTGAAAAGTGGCGGGAGCATTTGTTAAACCAAAAGCCATGCGGTTACACTCAAAAAATCCAAGGGGACCTAATGAAAATGCTGTTTTGTGTCTATCTTCTTCCTTGATTTCCACCTGCCAGTATCCTGACCTAAGATCTAACTTTGTAAAATACTTACTACCAATAAGAGTGTCTATGGTTTCCTCAACTCTTGGTAGATTGTAAGCGTCCTTGATGGTTCTGTTATTTAACTTTCTTAAATCGATGCAAAATCTTAAAGAACCATCTGACTTTCTAGCAAGTACAACATTTGAACAATATGGACTTTTTGATTCTCTTATGGCATCTGCCTCTAACATGTCTTTAAGATGTTGCCTTACCTCTTCATACATTCCTGGAGGTATTCGTCTATAGGGTTCCTTAAATGGAGTATTATCTGACAAATTAATTTCATGCTCCACTAAGTCTGTTCTACCTATATCTTTTAAAGAAGTAGAGAAAATGTGTTTCCATTTGTTCAAATATTGATGACAACTCTCAACTTGATCAGGGGATAATTTATTTTCATTGATTTTCACCCCTAACTCTAATAGGTCTAATTCTGATTTGTTTCTAGAATCATTTGATGATGAAGGTTCCCAAGCATCTACTACTTTTACAGAACTTAATTTACAAATAAGGGACTTTGGTGACACTTTGATTGGTCGTGCTGACATGTTACATACCCTTATTGGAATTCTTGAGGTCTTCCCATTTTTGACTGATACTACTCTTGGACATACTAAAAGACTTGTTATTTGATTGGTTTTCAATTTGTTCTGTAATAGCGGCACTTACCTGCATGCTGTTGCACGACTTGACTATTCCTGAGATAGTTTTTACCTCCTAAGGACCTACTGTAATTGCATATTTGTTAGTGGTCTTTACAGGAATATCATTGTTTTCACTAAGATTTGCAAATGCTAATTTCCATTCCTCTGGAACATCTGTATGTTCTTAGTTTGCATAATCTTTACACAACCTTAAAACGTTCGTACCTACAATTACAGGAACTTTACTGTTGTATTCAGTTCCTTTTGTGACTAGAACTGGTACATAAAAAGGATTCAAGGACAAAAACGGAATTTGTAATTCAATTTCAATATATCCTGCAAATGGTAAAGAATTCCCTTCTGCACTATAAACTTTTGCGTTCAAAGTCTTCTATATTATGCAACTCTGGTTTGTCTTGTAAAAATTGGTAAAAATTTTCAGACATGCAAGTGACCATTGATCCAGTATCAATCAAAGCTTTTGTTTCTACACCATTTACAAATATGATACTTTCATTCTGATGTCCAACAATTCTTGATAACAAATCTTTAGATTCAGAATTTGTGTTTCTAATAGGGCTTTTCTGAACCTTGTTTTCCTCCTCCATCTGCCCTTCAATAGAAGAGGTTATTAGTTTTTTGAATTCTGTCCACCTTGGGATGGTTTGTTTTGACTTTGACCCTGTCTTTGACCTTGGCTCTGACCCTGATTTTGACCTTGATTTTGACCACGACCTCGACCAAAACCTCTGTTTGAGTAGTTGAATCTACCCCTTGTAGATGAACCTCTATTTGAATAAAAACTTTGTTGTCCGTATGTATTATTTTCTAATTCATAAACTCTCTTGTTCAATTGTTGGAAAGTTTTTGCATTACTGTCAATTTTCTGTTCTAACCTTTCCATTGTCCTTACCATTGTCTGTATTTCTTTCTGTAGATCTGTTGATGATGTAGTAGTCTCTGCTCTCTCTGCCTGTTGAAATGCCTGCCTTGCTGACCTTGTTGTTCCCGTACTCCTTTGTGATGTTATCTCCTCTTGCACTTTCCTAATTTCCCTAAGTAAAGATTCAAAATTTTTAATAGAGTCAAACAGATGTCTTGTGCTTTGTTTTAATTGTTGACTACCTAAACCGGTCCAAAATTTACTTCTTAGCATCCCATCTTTTGCTTCATTACCAATATGACCAAATTTGATCGCTTTTGATAATGTGTCTTCTAATCTAGAAGCAAATACAATAATGGATTCCCCCTCTTTTTGGCAATCATTGTAGAATGACTGCATAAGCGTTTCACCTGAGGCTACATTGCCAAAAAATCCATCTAATTTTTTCAAAATGTCTTGAATAGAAGCTTTATCCCCCACTGACACTAACATACTTCTAGCTAAACCTTTCAAAGAATTTCTTATAGCTTGAAGTAGAATATGTTCTGGGTACTGATTTGAATTTAGTAAGCATCTTACTTCAAAATTCCAAACTTCATACCTAACTTCCCCTTTTTGTGGTTCATCTGTTCCACTAAATGTTGGTAATTTAGGGGTGGGATATCGATTACCTTGTAACATGGAGACATTACCAGGGTTCTTCGAATCACTCATTGTATTGAGTAATTTTGTCATGGGAGAAAATGGAATCCAACCTGGACTTTTGAAAGGAGTACTTGTCTTTTGCTCTTGTTTAAGACTTGCATTTACTAATACATCGTATTCCTCTTTTGTAAGAACCTTATAGTTTGGGTCTTTGTTGACTTCATTTATGTAATGTTCAATAGAGTTATCTTCCGCGTCTGCTTTTCCAGCACCATTACCATTTCCAGTAGCCATAATCAAAGATTTGATAAAACTAATGACTACTTAATTTTATACAATATACAATTAACAACTGCACAGGTATGATAATATGATTAGGTCAATCTCTTCCAATATTGACCTAGCAGCGCAACATGTATATGTATATCTGACAATAAAATCTTTGGTACAATTTATATGAAACAGGGATATTTTCTGTGATTGGGTCTGTCCCTACCAACAGAAACGAACCTGCCTCAGAATAATGCACCAATAAAACATATAACAGTATTTAACTAAACATTACTATGAATTAATAAAAATGCAATCAATCAGTCTTTTCAACCATACTCTTCCTAACAAAGAGCTTGGATGAACTCCATCAATGTACAAATGAAAATTGTATGAAATACGTTGGCTTTTGCCTTTTTCTTTTCTGTATCTCAATAGATCAAGTTTAAATCTAGGCCCAGAAACAAGATGAGTAGAATTTACTAGAAGTTTCTCTTCAGCCACGGATAGAAATCTGCGAAACGAGCTCCTGGTCTACATTCAAACTGCACAAGTACTCTACTAATTTTCAACAAATCCAAATGTTTCTTTAAGTAGTAACCCTTACTGTCACTAATTAATATTGGTCTACTAACTACAGATTTAGATATAATTGGTCTTTCTAAATACTTCAATAATTTGCTGTTGCTCATATATTCCTAAATGAACAATTAAATAAAAATAAACTAAATAATGAATACAAAAATAAACACTGCTTTCACTTCTTCTTTTCCTGTAAATATTTGAATATCTGCAACAAATTATGAAATGAGTTTGATCATGGAAAAGTAATTCAGATAAATCAGCTGACAATAGGTACACTTTAACAAGTAGCACCTGCAAAACACAAAAATTCAATTAGACTGGTTAATATTTGATGACAGGTTTGTATGATATGATTTGATGATGATATGAGCTGAAATGAACTGAATATGACACCTAATTATACTACCAGGTTCTCCTGACAACAGCTATACTCTATTTCTCACCTCGCACCTGCTAACTCGAATTTCCTCTATCTTTCAAAACACAATCGTGATTACGTACTTGTTGTTAGTAGTGCATCTTGTTAAGAGACATGCGGGGATGTTATGAATGTCAATAACTGTATTGCTATAAATTACTTATTCTAACTGTTTAACTTTAACTTTAAACTTTTAGAAATTTTACACACTCGTGGCAGTCATGTTACTTTCACACCATGCACATGAAAATAAACAATATCACATGTATGCAATTTAAACAAACACAATGAAAATATTAAGATTAAGAGTTAAGTAAAGTCACAGAATCCTTGGAAAACAGTCACTGGTCCAGCGTCGTCCAGAAAACGGTTCCAGAGGCGAAGATCCTCGGATATCCAGCGAAAACGAAAGTAGCCTAGGTTCATGTGTCTGTGAAGTCACAAATATGTAGATTAAGTGCACGGGGCATAACGGTACATCTTTCGAAGAAGTCAGGTCTGAGTAAAACTCACAAACACAAAACACAGTGTTGAAATGGTGAATTCACATAATGAATGATAATAAAAGAAGAATGAATGAATGGATTGATAATTTTTCCACCGTTGAGATCGAATCACCTTATAAATAGAGATTCTTTTGTAATTGAAATCACACGGTTGGGCGCCATTGTCACAGCCTCATTATATTTGTTACTCCATAAATAACAAAACAGCTGTTGTGGGTTCTTTTCTTTATCTATATTTCAATTACTTTCTTGATGATATGATAATTACAATTAACAAGGTGACCTGTAAAATAAATGAATACACTCATACACTAACACTCAAACATTTAATTATTTTAGATTACTTTAACTGTTCCGATTCAATTATCTTTAATTAGATAACTAATTGATAAGATATCTAATACATTCAGAGCAACGGTGGTAAATTAATTCTTACCGAATCGACTGGTATACAGTTGTCTTTATTATAAATAAAAGACTATGTATGGAGAGGAGATAAACTCTACCTTCCTCCTGGCTGTCTTAGGGTGGAGTGAGTTATTAGGGGTGTTTGGCGCCAAGCATGCGTATTTGGTTCCAAACTAGTAAAACCACTCACACACTTCTCACACTGAAATATCAACCAATCACACACTTTCAAACCGCACCCATTCTGACACAAACACCTTTGACCTTTCACACTCTCAAACCAACCAATGAGCATTCAACCTCATGAATATCAATGAACGACTTTATGAATGACTGAACACATAGTAAATTCCAGAGTACTGTAGATAATAATAGATGAAGATGATGATGATGGTAATGAAATGATTAGTATATTAGGTCACAAATTATTAATGAATAAATTATATAGTATTTATTATAATATTAATTTATTCACCCTGTGACACAAATATAGGCCCGATCAAAAAAAAACGTTTTCATGAGTTCAATAAGATGTTAAAGAACCCATTTCAAATCGATAACCATATTGAAATATTTACCGTTTTTGAGTTATAAAGTAAAAACTTTCAAGTGCCTTTGACCCCTAATTTGAGTGACCAGCCAATTTTTATTGATGTCAAATGATAGATCTTCAAACTATGCACAACTTTTTTTCAACCTGTCTTAACAAAATATTTTTCATTTAAAAGATACACAAGGAAATATATTTAAAATTTTGCGCTTTTAGGCAATCTCATTTTTGACCCCTATCTAGCACCGTTTTGAGCGCAGAAATCGAAAAATGAAAACCGATGTGCACAACTTCAATCCTTTTATTATCTAAAATCAGTAGAATTTCTGCTCCAGCTTTAGCCGTCTCTGAGCCTTTGTCTGGAAACAAAAACCTATAAATTTTCGTTTAAAGGGAAATAACTCAAAACAGGAAGTGACTTTTTGAAATTTTAGAAAGCATTCTGATAAAGTTTATTAACGTCTATAAGCTCTAAGAATTTGAGCGAAATCCGTCAAGAAATGAGCGAGTTACGAGGTCTCAAAGTTGGCGTCTGGGAAAAAAAGAATAATAGGAATAATCTTAACCATCAGAATAAGTACAAGGTCTTCAGCCTGAGCGGAAGACCTTAAAAAGCTGCTAAAACAGCAACATAAAAGACAGCTCACAACCAAGCAAAAAGCTTGATAGAGTCTATAACCGAAAGCATTGCTGCTTTATATGCAAGAAAATGGTTCTTCATATTCCTACTCATTTCAAGAATTTCCACAGCTCTGTAACAGAAGTTAATAAGGCAATGAACAATACAGGTAAAAGGAAATATGATGCATTACGGGCTAAAGGTGATGATTTGCAAAACAAGAAGGTAATACAAGAAAGAAAAGGAGAACTCATAATTTCGAGAGGGCCAACTGAATTTCAGACAAGTGACTTTGGGCCTTGTCCATATTGCTTAGATTAGATAAATCTAAAATATCTAACAAAACATACCCAAAAAGTCCATTCTTCAGCTTTAGAGAGTGACAAGACTATAGCAGAATCTTCTTACAACACATGGCCATGTTTTTGATGATTTTAAGAAAACTTGAATCTTCAGAAGAACACCAAGACATATCCTGTTTTACCATGTGATTTTATACCATTATACTAATCTACATAAACCTATCATGTCTTCAAATATGTAATGAGTTTGTCAATAACTGCCTTAGACTTTGAGATTCTCGGGACCTCTGACCTTTCACGTTTCCCCACAAACACATTTCTAATTCCATTAAAGGTATCACGTTCATGAATACTTCTCACTTTGGACAAACTGAGTGAGCATTCATTTCTTCATTGTTTGGCTTGAAATTACTTTGTCTTCCACTATTTGGTCAAGTGATTGCTCACATGCAACGTAATTAAGAGTAAATAAACTTCCTATACAACTTTTGGAGGGATTGTACATCTGCCAAAACATGATGAGCATAACATTTTAAGTCCATTTTTGACCAATGTTTCGTGTTTGTAGTTCTCAACTTCAGGCCTTTTCCATGTTCCCTTTTGCTACCTTAATATTAAAATATATTGAAATATATTTTGTTTATGTTTTATATTTACTTGTTTAAATCATACTTACTTATAACGAACACAGAAATTTGTCATAACACGGGCGAATGAATTAACAAATTTCGTCCTATAATGGGTTCCTATGATATATAAAACTTTTGATTTTTTGGCCCTAGGATCAGGGGTTCAAGTGATAGGGTGGGGCTCCATTGATTATATAGTGAAAACACATTCTTCTCTGCTCTTGGGTATTAAGCTGATGAACTACCTATAGTTGTGATAAGCAAGGGCCCTAATCTTCCAGAATTTTGAATTTCAAGGCCCTAGGGTCAGGGGTACCATAGGGGGGGGAGGGTGTAATTATATATTGAAACTGGATTTATTGTTCGAGATCTGCTCTTTGGTATTTTTCAAATATTTTTGAAAAGCAAGGGTGCCTTTTCTAAAATTGTGCGATGTGTGGATCTAGCGTAAGGGTCAGGGGTTCATGTGTGATAGGAGCATTACTGATGATTGCGGAATTAAACTAATTACTTTAAATGCATTTTTGTTCCCCTACCCTGCTTATAGGTATTAAGTAAACAAACTAAGCAACTGCTAAGTGTATTGTTATGATGATCAATGGTGCCTCTTTCAAAATTGTGAACACCATAGAATCTGGCTTAAAACATTAATCAAATTAAATCACTGGAAAGTTGTTGCATAATTCTCAGGTGACCTATAAGGCCCATGGGCCTCTTGTTATATACATGTGTGGTGGTCCTGGAGGTACTGGGCACGAATTGCCCTGCTACCTCCGATCACAGGGTATACGTCACAGCACCTGTTGTGACGTGTACAGCTCCTCGCGCTCTTATCTTGTTACAAGCTGCAAAGAACAGACGTGTCTCTGTCAGCTCCGCCATTATTGTATTGTATATGTTATAACTGCGGACACTAATAAACATCGTTAACTCATAGTGTGTTCTCTATTCCGCCATCACTGGGTATTATAGATATATAGAGAAACGCTATACATGTGATATACAGG